TAACATCACAGCTCTCTGTCCAGAACAGTGCAGTGCTAGGAACAGCAGATACTGTAACGAACCCTCAAACTCCCAGGCCTCTGGTAAAGGACCCATGATTGAGGAAGACACATACCACTCACAGGAGTGAGAGGGGATTTTTTTCTTTTATAATATAATCCAGAGTTTATCCCAGACGTGATTATCCACAATAAGAAATACAAAGACAGACATGTTTGGGATGGCCTAAGAGGCAGGTGAGAATGTAGAGTGAAAAAGATGCAGGTAGTTTTATTTATTTATTTATTTAGACTTTAAATGGCACATTTTTGTTGTTGTTATTTACTAAAATAATTAGCACAGCTCTATCTTCTATATTTTACTCAGAAAAAGCTTATTTAATGTCTTTTTATATGCTTTTAATGCTAGTATGCCAAGGGTGCATTCCAACTATTGAATGACATTTTTTAATATATATAGATATAAAAATTCCTTTCTCACCCCTATGGGTGGTATGTGTCTTCCTCAATCTCGGGTCCTCGGGTCTGCGCAGTATCTTAACTGTTCCTAGCACCGCACCCTTCTGGACAGAGAGCCCTGATGTTGTTCCTGGGATCTGTTGGAGCCACTCCCCCAGCTTAGGAGTCACAGCCCCAAGTGCTCCTACCACCACTGGGACCACTTTAGCCTTTACTTTCCATATCCTCTCTAGTTCTTCTTCAGGCCCTGATTCTTCTCCAGCTTCTCATACTCCTTCTTCCTGATGTTGTTGTCACTTGGCACTGCTACATCTATGACCAGTACTGTCTTCATGTCCTCCTTTGGCCAGCTCACTATACTGGCAGGGTATCTGATAACTGGCAGGGTGTATGTGTTGATGGCATGGATCTTGTTCTTCCTATTGAGGTGGCTCTTCAGGACCTGTCTTATCCTTTGGTGGTACTTGGATGTTGCTGTCTTCCTTGCCTCCTCATTGTGGTTCCCATGTGACTGTGGGATACCCAGGTACTTGTAGCTGGTCTCTGTGTCTGCTATGTAGCTTACTGTAGTTCCACCCCATCAGTCTTACCTACCTTTCCTCTCCTTACTATCACCCGGCCACACTTCTCCAGTCTCAATGACATCCCAATGTCCTCACTGTAGATCCATGCCAGGTGCATCAGTGGGTTGATGTCTCATTCACTGTAAGCATACAGCTTGATGTCATCCATGTAGAAGAGGTGGCTGATGGTAGTTCCACTCTTGAAATTGTACCTGTATCCAGTCCTTGTGATTATCTGGCTGAGGGGGTTCAAGCAGTGGGGACAGTGCATCACCTTGGTATATGCCACACTTGATGGTCACTTGTGCAAGGTGTCTTGAGTTGACTTCCAGTGTTGACTTATATAGTCCCATTGAGTTCTTGAGGAAAGTCCCTAAAGCCCTGTTGACTTTGGATAGTGCCAGGCATTCACAGATCCACTTGTGTGGCATTGAATCATAGGCTTTCCTGTAGTCAATCCAGGCTGTGCTTAGATTGGTCTGCCTAGAACTTGAGTCTTGGGCAACTGCTCTATCTATGAGCAACTGGTGTTTTGAGCCTCTGGTGTTGTTCCCAATGCTCATGTGGTTTTGTCCTTCCTTCTGTTAGCCAATCTGGGTGGGAGCCTGCTGCTAGCAGCTGGCTCATCTGTGCCCCAGTTGTTTATGCACTGCTTTAGTTTTTTTTAGCCAGTAGGTGTAGATCATGTCCAAGCCAGGTGCTGTCCAGCTCTTCATGTTCTTGATCTGCTGTTGGATGTCTGCTACTGTGATGGTGACTGGTTCCTGTTCTGGGAGACTGCTGTGATCTGCTTTCAGGTCCTGCAGCCATTTTGCACTGGTTTTATGTATCTTCTCTTTCTTTATGTATCTGATCTCTTTTCTTTATGTATCTGGGAGACTGCTGTGATCTGCTTTCAGGTCCTGCAGCCATTTTGCACTGGTTTTATGTATCTTCTCTTTCTTTATGTATCTGATCTCTTTTCTTTATGTATCTGGGAGACTGCTGTGATCTGCTTTCAGGTCCTGCAGCCATTTTGCACTGGTTTTATGTATCTTCTCTTTCTTTATGTATCTGATCTCTTTTCTTTATGTATCTGGGAGACTGCTGTGATCTGCTTTCAGGTCCTGCAGCCATTTTGCACTGGTTTTATGTATCTTCTCTTTCTCCCATATGTTCTTCCAGTACTGTTCAGTTTCTGCTGTCAGTGGTTCTGCTGTTACTGTGTTGTTGCACTACAACTGGGAGTACACCTTTCTTTGGAGAACATTTATCTTCTTCGCCTTTGCTTCCATAGTCTGGCAGCCTTTGTTTAGCAGCCTCTAGGGCTTTAGATGGAGTCAGGCCCTTGTATTTTTTCAGTAGTCAAGTGTTATCCTTAATCTTCACACCCTTCTATAGTTCCTCCAGCTGACTAACTTCTCTCTGAGTTGCCTTGATCTTAGCCTCCAACCTCATTTCCTTGTGTGTGGGGGGGTATGTACTACTGTTTTTCTTGATCATATAGCCAAGCAACTCCAGGATTACAGCAGCTGTAGTGTATATCAATTCATTGGTTTGAGTTATGGTGTTAGGGACTGTTGTGAGGGCTCCATTGTCATCTTCTAGCATACTATCTGATGGTACTTCTCCATTGAGCCTTGGTAATCGGTCTCGAGGGTTGACTGTAGCTAGTTTATCCATGATCTTATGCCTCATGTCAGTTGCTGTGTTCTGTAATGTAGGGTAGCAGTGATGTTCCAGCTTCAGGTGTTGGCTGCACATCCAGTTGTTCTTCCAGGTCTTCTTGAGTCCAAGATGTAACATGGAATTGCTCTATGTCAAGTTGTGGGAGAAGCTTCTTCTTCACTATGTTGAAGTGTTGGAATACTAGATGTTTTTCAGTTAGTCTTCTGTCCATGCATAATTCCCTCAGATGTTTCATATATCCCTGTCAAGCCTAGCCCAAGGAACTCCAAGAGACCATGTAAATTCAGTACAGCTATGTTTATTAGCTACAACCTCTAGCAAGAATCTTCCCAGACTAAAA